GGGGGGGGGGGGGGGGGGGGGGGGGGGGGGGGGGGGGGGGGGGGGGGGGGGGGGGGGGGGGGGGGGGCGGGGTGGTGTTTAACGATCCGTGCTCAGGACGCCGGTGATTGACCTGCTGCACGTCTGCATGCACGTCGGCGGTGTTCGAACAAGGATGCAGAATGACGCCACCCACCCACCCCCGGATTCCTAGTTTGTTGCAACTTTGTGTACGAGAACGACAACCCGGGTAGAAGCAACAGCAGCTAGGGGTAGAGTCTAGACGGGCAATAAAGCAAAGGCGCATAGCAACAAACAACTTTCCGGAACGGCGGAAGCAGGCACCAGCAATAGCCGAGGTATCGATTGGCACGTAGTGTCACTACTTGTCGTGATGATCATCCGCCTTCATTGACAAAATCTTGTACTAGATCTCGAGGTATCGATTGGCATGCAGTGTCACACCATCCCCATGTGGAAAATCTTGTGATAGATCTTGAGGTATCGATTCGCACGCAGTGTCACGTTCCTTTTCGTGTTGATCATCCAATCATCCACTCACTGGAAAAATCTCGTAGATCTCGAGGTGCCGATGGCATGCAGCGTCATGTTTTGTTTCATGTTCATCCATGTTCACTGGAAAACGAGGTATCGATTGGCATGCAGCGGTGTCACACGTCATTTTTCATGCTCCGTCATCATGACTCACTGAAATATCTTGTAGATCTCGTCGATCTCCGAGTCCCCCGGAAAGAGGGGGCGCTTGGTCACCATCTCCACCAGGATCGTGCCGACCGCCCAGAGGTCGACGGGAGGGGCGTACGTCTGCGTTCCGAGGAGGATCTCCGGCGCGCGGTACCAGAGGGTAACCACCTGAGAGTCGACACCACGCACGGCAGGCACACAGGATGTGGGCGGTGTTGGTGGTGTAGCGGTTACACACGGCAGGCACACGACGGGACGGCACCGACACAGCAGACAGGGCGGTGGAGGTGTGGCGGTGGTAGCGCGGCCAAACACGGCAGGCACACGATGGGATGGGTACCAGCACAACAGACAAACGGCAGCGGTGTCTGTGGTAGCGATAACACACGGCCAAACATGGCGAGCACACCATGTGGGATGGCATCAACACAGCACACAGCGGCGGCGGTAGCAGTTTGAACATGACACACGTGATCATGGGCACAGCGAAAAGAGGCGGTGGCGGCACCACACGCAGGCGCTAAGAAACATGGGACAGAAAATGGGCAATAGGTTCCAACGGCGACAGATTGATAGTCATCTCGTGGTGGTGGCAGCAGAAACTCAATCGTGCGGAGCATGCCGATTCTTGAAGCTGTCATGCTTCAAGCACGCACAGTACCCACAGAATAAATGTGTGAACCAGTGATTCGGAGCCCAAGCAGCACTTGCGGTAATTCGGGAGCTTGCTTCAAGCATTGACCAAAATCGCACAAAAGCAGCAGTGCAGCCGGAAAAAAACGCACCCTTCTACAGAAGTATGTAGAGCATGCACAAAGGCGTATCTAGACGATGAACCAATCGTGAAAGAGAGCAGGGTCTAGCTCACCCACTGCTCCTTGCGAAGGGGAGGCAAGAGACATCGGTTTGGATCAAACCAACATACCCATCCATCCCAACAACAACCCATATCCACAACACATACTGTCGTGGAGCAGGGGGAGGCATGGAACCACGAATGATCCAATCCCCCTTTTGCAAAGTAGGAAGGAACAATTGGCCGGCGGTGGTCAGTCCTGCGGGAACAGTGCTTCGTCCGCTCCAGCGCGCGTGGTCAACGGTCTACAACCTTGTGAAGGCACGCAAGACACGAGTACGACCCATCACCAAAAAAAATACAGAAAGGAGACGCGACTGCTCTTGGGGGACTAATGCAACCCCCCCGGACCACAACCAAAGTGCGCGTTGTCGTGGACCGTACAGCCATATGCCCTCAGCTGATTCCCCGTGCGCGGTCTCCCCAGGGGGGGAGGCCGGGCTAACAAGACCCCGTGGAGAGCGTAGAAGGGAGGATATGCATCTGTGTTCGGCAGTGTAGAGAGGCACCCCGGTCGGGACAACAAGGGGGTGCAACCATCATCTACCATCGTCGTCTCTGTATACTCCACCGAAGCCCCCAGCAGAGCCCGGGCCTACCGCGTACGTACACACCTCGTGCGTGAGGGGGCGGATCGGGGGGCAAAACGCGCGCGCGAGCCCGAAGTCCGCGAGCTTGAGCTTTCCGTCTCGGCTGACGAGCAGGTTTTGCGGCTTTAGGTCGCTGCGAGATATCGTAACCCAGCAAAGCAAGAGGGTGCGCACAAAAAAGGACGGGTTGAGGGGGCTCAATTGTCATTGCTCTCGTTGTGCATAGGAGGTTGCCCATCATGGTGAGTGATACTGTTGACGGGAGGGGCACAGACCAAAGTCTTGTCCGTGAGAACCGGCGAGCAATCGTGATGCCGCGCTCCGCACACGCGTGTAAGCAAGCGAAAACGTGCGTATGATGCAAGTCCTACCGCTGTGGACAAGGAGAAAGGAGACAAAAACGAGGGTCACCAAGTACGCAAAATGAACGCGGGCGTTGGAATGACGACTTGGTAATAAGACTCAGAAGCTGTGAACATCTCTTACTCTTTTGCAGCGAATACGAAAGACAAGCACACAGCAGTGCGAGGTAGTACTAGTATTTGCCTAATGCACTCGAGGTACATATCGTTTCTGCCGATGCGGCAACAAAAATCAGGGGAGGAAAGCAACAGAATCGTACAAAGCTCACCGGTGCATGACGCCTCGTGCGTGGCAGAACTCCAAACCGCGAACCATCTGGAACAGGTAGGACTGCATTCATTCGTGGTTTTGGTTTCATGCAGAGAAAGGAGTACGCGGTCAGCAGGTGAGGAGTGTCCCGGAGAGACACAGAGAGCGGCCGGGGAGGGGGTGTGCACCTGGAACAGAGATAGAGATTACACAAGGACAAACGAAACGAAGTATATCCTAGACGACAACATAAAGGCCGTTGGCCTTTTTGCCTGCCAAAAGATCCAAGCACACCGACTACCGAAAACTACCATCACAACAGGGATATATAGCCACAACAGGGATTCATAGCCGCGGGGAAACTCCGCAACAGGGACCTAAGGGGTAATGCCGCGGCGGCCTGCTGCTCACTGAGGGTTCGCAGACACAAAAAAAGCACAGCGCCGGTTGTGAGAGCATACCTTGACCAACATGGGGTCTAGCATGCCCTGGGTGGCCTCCATGTACTTCTTAAGGTCCCGGTCGACGAACTCGAAGATCAGGTACAGCTTCCCCTCGCTCTGGACGCAGTCCTGTTATCCTCACACAAACACGCACACACACAGCATTTTGTGTTTTGTGTTTCCACAGCACTGAGACCGACGGCTTTTCATTGGTCAGCCAGGTAGCGCGGTCGATGCTAATGAAGACACAAACGTGCAGTTTTCTTCTGCTATTGCTATGGTATCTGTCTCCAATCCGGAGAGTACTGAAGCATAGAGTCCCCCATGACGCCCCTTGACGGGGTCCAAGATCGTAGCCTCTACAAGCAATTTATGTTTCAACCGCACCGAGACTGACGCCTTTTCATTGGTCAGCCGGTTGGCGCGGTCGACGCTAACAATTAAAAAAAAAAAAAACACACACACACACGCACACACGCATTGATCAGCCAGTTAGGGGTGATCAGCTGGTCAGCGGCCAATTCAAAGATACACGCAGGTGTGTAACGAGCGAAAATGTAGCGCCGACGACCAGAACCAAACAAACACAAATACACACGCAGTACAAAACGCCACGGAAAAATGAAACGCCCTTCGCCGGCCGCTACTGGTGAGCAATGGCTGGGGTGAACAAACAGCAAATGGCCCATACAACTTCGCTCGAACAAGGGACGGCAGCAACGACAATGACGGCGACGGCGACAGAGGCAGCGGTCTGTGCACGGCTGCTTCAAACCCGCGGGTTTTTTGCCACCTTGAGACATGAAAAATAGAAAAGAGTACAATCAGGCACGTTTGGTAGTACAGAGTGCGAAGCACAGATCCGATACACTCGCGGTTTATCCCCACACCGATTGGACTTGGGAAACTTTGCCGATTTGTGCCCAGCGGGACACTCGCGTTGCAACCAAAAAGGGAAAGAAGATTGAGCATCGGTGAAAGGGAAAAAAGCCACCGGAGCACCAATTCGTCGATGCGAATGCTGCCGTCTAGAAAAGATGCATGCACCCAGGAACGTGCAACCATTCACAATAAGTGAGACAACAAGGCCAAGACTGCTGTGCATGTCGAGGCACGGTACGGTAAGCAGCGGTCGTCACCATACATGGCAGTGTAGGACGTGCATCGGCCGAAACCCTACCGATGAGGGTGATCGGGAGAGCTTGGAAAAACCTCGCGTGCCTCTAGGCGCATACACACCTACCGGGGCGCATCGGCAGGACGGATGATACTCAATTGACCCATCCACACACAATGTACGCTTTTAGATGACAGCATATCCATTATGCGACAAGTCAGCGCTGACTTGCAGCATAGTGGATACGCTGTACATCTAACAGAGGTACAACCTGTTCTACCTGAGCGCATCGGCAGGACCGATGATACTCCAACGACCTACCCATCAACGGGCTCGACCATGCACACAACAAACTGACCTTGAGCTCGACGATGTTCGGGTGCTGCAGCTCTCGCAGCAGAGAGATCTCCCGCAGGGCCGTGCTGGGGATGCCCTCATCCTCCACCTCCAGCCTGATTCTCTGCTCGAACGGCGACCGATCGGGGCGAGGTGCGTGGGTACTCATATGTCAAAGCACGCCTTAGCTGCAAGACCATTCAACACACGCGTTCTCGAGAGGGACGAGCATTATTCCCGCAGGACCGATCGCGATGGCCAATCGTTTCTTACTGCTTTGCCAGAAGGTGGCTCACTATGTTCCTTTCTTGATTCGAAACCTAGAGAATCGCGTCTGATTCAATGCAGAAAGTGCCATCCGTACGTGCATTGTAATAGGGCGCACAGGGGTGTGGGGTGTGGGGGTTGTTACAGATGCCGTCGTTCTCCACCTCCAGCCCAATCATATCTTCCGCAGGTGAGGCAGAAGCACAACCCGGGTGGCTTCCAGTGCGACACATGATTTGGATTTGGAGGAGGCTGTAGTAGAGGCGCGCACGGGGGGGGGGGGGG